TCTCTCTGTCACACACACACACACACCATCACAGACACACACCACCGGCGAGTCACACACCTCACATACAGCCACCGTCCGCCGACAGCTCACACCACTGCCACCAAGTCCCGTCCATCGTTACCGTCCGGCGATTTCGTCAGCCCGTCCCAAACTCACGGCGACGGCGGGAGCTCCAATGTCAACTGCAACAACCGCCGACCTTCAACAGATCGCCTCCGCCTTCCACCACCAGTCCGTCTTTTAGCCCAAGCCGTCCGTCCACCACAGCTCTGACTCGTCTGGCGGAGGTGAAGCTGCGCCGACCGGTAGCCGGAATTCAGAGATTTGTGAATGAGATTGATGTCGGCAGAGTGTTTTGGGTTGTTTCTTATGATTTTTGTGATTTGGGGCTGATTTTGGTCCATGTAGCGGCGACGAGGACGGCGGAGATGCAACGGCTGACGGCGGCTCCGGCCGAGATGCGGCGGACTGAACGACGCTTCGGCGGTCGGTGGGTTGACAGTAGCAATGTGGGGAGATTTTTTTTTTGGGATAGGTTTTGTTTTGGTAAATTAGATTTGTTTGAGGGACTATTTTGCAATTTCTAATCTTTTATTTAATATATGTATATTTTTATTTAGGGATGGTAATTTATAATTTAAGGAATATTAAATTATGCACATTAATGACACATTAAATGCAATATATTGTGGGTAGGTGTAAAATAATGGCACATGTGTATATGAAATTATTAAAAATTCGATAAATACGTGTATATAAAATTATTAAAAATTCGATAAATACGCCATTTGTTCGATAAAATAATTGCACAATATTGTGTGTAGATATATGTTTTAAAAGTAAAAAATAAATAATCAGAATGAAATATAAAAATTCGATTTGAAAATTTCAAAATAATCTGATTAATTAGTCGGCAGTTATAAAAAACCAAATAAAAATAACCAAAATAATTTGACGTGAATTATATTATTTATTATAAGAAAACATGATTAGTATTTAATATGTTTTTATTTATTGTTTTATATTTTTTTATTAAAAAATAGTATTTTTGTATTTGAAATATATGGTTCAATCTAACAGATACTAAGGTGCAATTTGCCCAACTCTATAGTGCACAATGTCGGATTATGTGCAGATTGAACCAACCGAACTTTTGTCTTATTGGTTTATTCGATTAGGATAATTGAATTATCACAAATAATCAAAATAATTTGTATTTATATTAAAATTATATTTAATATATTAATAATATCATATTATTATTTATTGAAAATTTTTTTGAGTTCGTTTGGTTTTGATATCTGTTGTGCAATTTGTTAGTCGATATAAAGTGCAGCTTGTTGTTTTAAAAAAGTGCAATGTTTTTGTTTTATAAAGTGCACATGATGATATATAAAGTGAACTACTGTAATTTTGGTACATTAGTATGTTTGTATTTTGTGTGATAAATAATATGGTTGCGGTTAAAATATTGTGTATATCTGTTTTTTTTTATATATTTATGTTGTGTAGTATTTTTGGCGGGGGCCGTTGACATTAATCGTGCAATGTAGCGATACAGGGCAACATGTTGTTTTATAATGTGCAACGTGTTATGTTATAAAGTGCATCATGCTGATATATAAAGTGCAATACCTTATATGACCACATATAAATTATGTGTTTTTGAAAATTATATTTGTTGTTTTATAATGTGCAACTTATTGTGTTACAAAGTGCATCGTGTTGATATATATAGTGTGATACCTTATATGACCACATATAAATTATGTGTTTTTTAAAATTATATTATAGTATATATAATTGTACAACACATTAACCTAAATGATTGAAATAAATTATTATTTATTATTATTATAAAAGTATATTTATTATTATTATTATTATTATTATTATTATTATTATTATTTATTTTTTCTACAAATTCATCTTGAAATTGAATCTAAAAAATTGAGTTATTTTGTTGGTTGATCAAATTAACCTAAATCATCAAACTAATTTATTATTTTTATTATAAAAAATATATTAATTATTAGTTATATTATATAATATATTTTTTTTTTGGTACATATTGTATAATATATATTAATTATGTTAATAAGTTTATGTAATATTTTTTATATTAATTTTTGTTGAATATACAAAATAAACATATGTATAAAAATACATATAAAAACAACTAGTTGGCTCGGTGGCTGTGCACGCACAGCCGGCCCTAGTCTTGTCTATCGTTATAACTAATACTCATGAAAATTTTAATTTATAAATCTAGCTTCAAATAACTTAACAACAATGAATAAAGAGTTAAACAATGCAATAATTAATAAGATATATACCTATTTATAAAAGCGTTAATAAATTTTTATAAAATTTATAAAAAATATTATGTCAAAATAAACATTTTTAAGGCACTCAGAAACTCTTGCAGGTGCAGTTCGAAACCCTTTGTATAGTTTGAAACACAACGTGTGGAAATGAAGCTATGCAGAAAACATCCAAAGGCAATTATGCACATAAGAATGATCATATATTAAAGAAGATGCTCATATTCTGAAATTAGTTAAAAACCTATTTGGTTGCATCACAGTTGCGTTTCCTAAGAAGTACTTCCATAAGAATCACGTCGCCAAAAAGTTCAATCAAAGAATTAACTGCACTTTCTTCCACAACGGCACCTTCTTCCACAAAAGTTCCTCCTGTTCAAAGAACATAAAGTAACAAATTCAATTGATCAGATAGGCTAAAACTCAGGCCATGTTATTGATAATAAAGAAAAAATACAATGACGGATTTGGGTAAATAAATATTCACATCTTAAATGTACAAAACATGAAAAAAATTAAATTATTTGTCCATTACATGAACTAACTGAACTAACTGTTACAAAGTTCCTTACTATTTAAGGAACTAAAGAAAACTTACTATTGATATAAATACATAATAACATGTGTATCTGATCACTGAAACATTTTTTACACCCATTTGGAGTCCTTATACCACTTTATAGAGCAACATATCCCGTAATAAAAAAAAAATGTGATTTTCGCCCTATCATCCAATTAGATCTCAAGTTTTTTTTTAAAAAAAAAAAAAAAAACTCCACGATAACCAATCAATGAACCAACGGCTACAAAGATCCTTACTATTAAGCAAGTAAAGAAAACTTACTATCGAAAAAAATACTTACTCGCGTGCGAATTTGGTCGCTTGAACATTTATGAACCCCACTTGGAGTCCTTGTATGCGCGAGAAATAGCACATCATAGACCAGCATCCCAAAATCTTTAGAAACAGAAATATTAGTAATACTCGCCCTATCATCCACTTAGATGTGAGCCTAGAAAAATCAAAGATAAGAAAAAGAACTCCACGAAAGCCAATAAATGCACCTTTGAGAAGTAGGTCCCAGATGGGGCCCAAAACTGTTTGATCGAAGTCTCATTTACGCAAAGATTAAACTCTGCCCATTGTGATGGCCAGTAAATGTCTCGTAGGCTTTCGACAACTGTTGGAATTTGTATGGGGCTGAGTGCCGATGATGCTCTGACGACTGCAGGTGCTTCATGGTAAAACTTCATTGTTGGTTTTCTGAAATCTTGCCCGACTCTGGTGTCAATTGATTTGGAGGTGAAATGAGCTGGAAGTGGTGGCATAGAGGGGCGATAGTAAAACCGTCCGCACTGATGGAGTATCCTATGACGGTGAGCATTTGAAAAGAAAAAAAATAGAGGAAAAATATGAATGTCGTTAGTGGTGATAGAGAATTTTTTTTGGTTTCACTCAACTTTTTTCCTATGCAGCATCTGTTGTGCTTCTCCATAGTTCTCGACGTGTAAGCGAGCAGATTTGTCTCCACTCTCCCCGGACTAAAGCTTTGTATGTGTATTTAAAGCCACTCCTTCGGAAATTATGACCAGAAAAGTGAAAAAAAGGTAAATTCATTACACACACCCAAAAAAAATTAAAAAAAAAAAAAGTGAAAGGGAGAGAAGAAATGGCGTGTTGAGAGTATCTATAGAAAGATTTAGCCGTAAGCGTGTCAGAGAAGAAATTGAGTTCATCCTCGAAGTTGTCGTTGAAGCATTTGCAGCTGTTTGATGAAATTCGCAGATGGGTCTAATATGGGAAGCAAAAATATCAGTATTTCCAGAACCATCATCCGAAATAAGATACAAATGATCAAAAAATTAAAAACAGAAAGACCCTTAGCAAATATATATTCAAAACTTGACCTTTGAAAAAAAAGTCGCCCATTTCTAGCCCGAACCGGTAGATTGGAGTTGATCGCAAACGCCAAGCGCCGTAAGCATCGAGTATACTTCGCCCGTTTGGGATCGTTGATGAGATAACAAGACAGGACCAATGATATGAGGATGATAAATAAGTCGATAAACAAGGATACAATTTTTAAGGACAAACCTTGATGGTGGTATGGTGTCACGAACTTAGGCCTTCTTAAGCTTCTCGGTGTCCTTGATGCTGGCAAAGAGGTCTACAAAATTCTAGTATATCGCTCTCTCTCTCTCTATCTCTCTCTCTCTCTCTCTCTCTCTCTCTCTCTCTCTCTCTCTCTAGTCGTTTCATAACTTGATGTCTGTCTTTTTCGTTTCTATTATAGCAGTATTATATATATTTCGGAGAACAGAATTTGGAAAAGATCCCAATGCTCGCAGAGATAACTGATCCACCAGGAGAGTTAATATACATGACTATATCCTGATCAATTACAATGCAGATTGATCAGTGAGGTATCACCTACATAACGATCTGTAGTAGCGTCTAAGGACAATGCTACTGCATTAAAATTTACATCTCGATCTTTAATCCTCACATCGACCAATCACAAGATTTAAGAAGCAAAATGATAGACGAAGAAGAATTTCAGCAACAAGGTAAAATAAAAACAAATGCATTAAAATTATGCAAAGACAGATACTGAGCAGTGAAGTAAAAATATAGACATGTAGCCAACATTGATAATGATGAACACATTGAGTTAATCAGACTGTGGTGGTTAATCTTTATTAAAATCTTCACCCTGAAAATAAAAGATACTTAGCAGAAAATTCAAAGGAATCATTAAAAAAATGAAATAAGCAATATATATTTATTGAAAATAATGAAGAGGAAAATACCATTGGACTTAATATTTAAGTGTTAAAATATAGTAAATGGTGAATAAGTAAGAAATATGCTGCTTATAGAGCACAATTCCACAAGTATGCAGCCCATACTGCACATATCACAGGGATAGTTCCAGCCCAGACCATTGTTGGAGAAAAATAGAAAAAGAATTGACCAGCCACGTACTGAAAAGCATCATATTTAATGAAATAGCAAAAAAAGTAGGAATAACTGAACAAGTAGATAAACAAAAAACAGAGTCCTGTGTGTAACCACACATACACACATACACACACACATGTTATAGCATTTATTGTGAAGAATGAAGATGAGTCGAAAGTAAAGAGCATTGCCTTTCTGATGGTGATTTCTTTTTCACCTCACTTTGGCATTTCCACAACTTGGGCCTCTGTAGAATATAAATTAAGAAGTTAGTCAGTAATCCGAATCAAACACTACCCAAAAATTAAAAAAAAAAGTCATCTTTGAGTTCATTACTACATGTCAGAACATAATGATTGCATTTAATCTAAACAGAATGGAATGAGTACCCAGATTCATCTTAATTTTGACATCAAGGGTGCAGTTGTGAAAGCTTATCAGTGCAACTGGGACATATTTGTTGCATTTTTCACTGCAAGATAATTTCACTTTGCATAAGCACAATAAAATGAAAAAAAATGTAATGACATTGGGACATCTTAACAAGTGAACGCGTCAAACCCTGCCATCAAGGTAAGATGTTGCTTCTCCGTCAATAAGCACAATAAGATGTTTGATAGAAAACTCGCCACACTCTTACAACCGTCAACCCCATCTTCGGCCAAGGTGTCCCGGACCTGTAACCATCCCCGTTCTAGTTAAAATAGTAAAACGCTTCATCATCATCAGTCGCCAAATAAAATTGTACCCTAGTCCAAACCTCTCAGCAGCTGACCCGATTTGTTTGACCATCAGGCAAACGACCTTGGGGCTTCGGGTTCTAACCGTTGCGTCAACGGTCGCCTCCAGAGCTGTACAGTCGCGGTTGGCTTCATGTGTATCTCTAAATGATTGAACTCCTGCGGCCATTGCTGTGGGTGCTCAATCTGCGGACCACCAATATCAATACAAACCACAAATATGAAAACTGAAAGTCCTAGACCAAGAATAAGATTTTGAATTTCTCGGTTTTCGTAAATAGCAGCTTCATCCTTTCTCTCTATGTTCATAATTTTACCCCTTAAAGGAAGCACAACTTGTGTATAATGACAACAGAATGTTGTTTCCACAAACCTCACGGTTACTGTTTTCAAATTACACCAATTGCATAATTTAGACCTTAAATCTTCACCTGAAACCGGCGATCACGGACTTGTTTGGCATTCCCACCAGCTAAGTCTCCCTCAACTATGAATATCTCTAAAATATTTTGGAAATGAAAAATAAGTGCAACTTTACTTATAAGATACAACAAAAAATAAATAAATAAATAAAATAATAATAATAATAATAATAATAATAATAATAATAATAATAATAATAATAATAATAATAATAATAATACCATATTCCTCACAATTCGTAGACGAACAATCATCAAGCTTTCCAGGAAGGGATGATGATCTCAAAAACACTCTTTTTCCGCTCTAGAACATGTTCCTTGGCATGTGGAAGTTCCTCTCCCGGGCCTTCATCATCCTCACCCTCCCTCGGCCATGGCAGCAGCAGTGCCAGAAGCAGAAGACCGCCGCGAGGACCACAAAGGCGATCAAGTATGACAGATCGAAGAAGATCCACTGGTTGATTTTGTCGGGCCTTGTTTGTGGAGGAAAGACACCTTCAAACCAGGCAAGAGCCTCGCCGGTCAATTTCTCGACGGCGATAAAAAAATTCGTTAAATTCTTCGACGACGAATATCGTCACCTCGAAGCCATTTTTCTCTGTGTGTGTGTATGAGTAGAAGATAGAGAAGGGTAGGGTTTGATGGAAAAAGAGAACAGGAACGAGGGAGAGAAGAAAGAGAAGAAATTAAGGCAACACGCAACACCTTTCGGCAGAGTCACATCTTTGCAGAATTCTTCCCAGTTTTTACGGACAAGTGATAAAAGAGGAGAAATGGGCGGAAAAGGTGTAAAAAGAGAAGAAATTGAAGGGCGTTTTGGTCAGATAAAAATCGACACGTGTCAAGCTCTCAACCCCTTACATTTTTGCTTATATGTAAGGGGGAGATAAAAGGAGGAATGATTTTGTAAAAAAACAGCACGGACTAAAATATGTCCTCATATTTGTATTATTTTTAATGAAAAAAATGTAATAACTATTAATTATCTCAATGAATATAATCACGATTAAATATTTCAGTAAAATAGGATCTAACATGGATGAAACTCTTTAAAAATAAAACCTAAACAAAATAGATTTAAATAGGTAAAAAAGATATTAACTTAACAATAAATGAAAAATTAATAAATGAAATGCAAACTATTTCAATAAGATTGAATTGATATAAATATAATCCAAAATATAAGTGGAACAAATAAAAATGTAAGGGAAGTACTATCCGCAATTTCACAACATACATTATTTTATAGTACAAATTTGTTACAGTTTTAAATTTATATTATTTTCATATTACTACTTACACAACCCTACATGCTTCATCATTTATATTAATAAAATAATAATAAAAATATTTCATATTACTTGTAAGTCTCTTAGGACTAGTATTGCATTTACTTTAAGTACCTTGCGTTAGTTATTTGATTTTCCCATCTTAATAAAAAACGATCTTTTTGTTACACAAAGTGTGTTTTCAATTACAAAGGGAACCTATGAACTGATTGATGTGTTCAGTTCGTACAAGAAGAACTAAAACAAAATAAAAATTACAACTTGAAAGCGGACAGATTAGAGCCGAGGCGATTGAAATCTTTCCGCAAGACAAATACGCCTCGTATAGTACTGACGGGTCTGTGCGTAATGTCCCCAAAGATACAACGGCTAAACACTCGGAAGCTGTAGCACACCAGCCTTCAGAGTTTCGGCGAACGGTACTGAAGTCGAGAACTGAGCACTTTTGATATGATGCGTGA